TTAGGACTATCTCTATTACAATAGTTCGCTGCTTACCAGAGTATTTTTCTAGCGCATCTTGGTAAAATACTTCTGTTAATACATAAAAAAAACCTTTGCCTAATAGGTATTGAACACTTTCATCTAAAGAGTTATTAGTTCTAGATAAGCCTTCAAATTTTTGACTTGATATGAACAATTTAATGATCTCTTTTTGAGAGAACTTTTTTAATGCTCTCCCTCCAGTCAACAAAATATTTTCAAAAAGTGTTTTTTATCCAGTGAAATCTTTCATCTGAACTACCAGTATAAGGTTTCAGAAATACTTTACTCAATTTGATGTACTCTTTAGTGTTTGTAACATTGAAGCAATCAAAAAATTATCTATTATTAGGCAGAAATATGCTGTCTCAATTGCATCTGGTCCATATTCAAGCAATTTATTTTCAACTGTGGCACTTAAAATTGGAACAGCTAATTTTACGTTCATTATAGAGTATGTATTTAATACTATATGCTCTCTCGTAAGTTTAGAAAAATAATTTAAGTTACATTCCATACCTTCATAGTAAAAATTAGCTATGTGGCTCCACAGCAAATATTTTCCATTATTCCACATATATCTTGAACAACGGCTAGACCAAGAGTTGCTCAAACAGTTCCTTGATGTTTTAATAAGATGTGGAGGCCCATAAAAAAACTATATATACCGTTCATTGCCTGCATAAATTTTTTTTTGTGAAATATGTTATACCATTTTTTTTATTTTCATTATTTGTATGCATTTTATAAAATGCATGATTAGGTGATGCTGCATCACAAGACACAGCAATAACTTTCAATTTACATGTTCTTTTTAATATTGCAACAGTCCGCCAAAATAATTGAAAAATACTGAATGACATAACACAATCAGTACCAAAACTTGCAAAAGAGTAAGATAATGGATTCATTACTCTTCTAATGAAAAAAAGATATGTGAAAGTTAAGTGTCTATTTTTTCAAAAGTTATTTGGGTAAAATCATTATCACCAAGATCAACAAAACTAATTAAATCACTTGTGTGTTTGTCCCACACAAGATCATTTTGAATTTCCATCTCATCAAAAGAAAGTACAAAATATTGTTAAAGTACTGAAAAGTTTGAAACTAATTTAGTAAGCTCCTGAAAATATTGACTACTAAAACCCCTTTGAGGTTTTATATAGTTTCTATAGTCTCTCAAAGTGCGCTGAGAAGGTAAAACATGTACACCTTTTCCTTCTTTTTGTAAACATAGAGTTTGCATGGAGTGCTAAAGAATACTTTATTACCATTGGATGGTATCTTGTTTGAGATGGTATCTTGTTTGTTTTTTTGTTAAATACTTCAACTGCTCTGTAAGGAATAGTTTCATAAAAAATGAAATTTCTCTGTTTAAAGTAACTTTCTCTAAAAAACTGTGAATAATTTTCAGAAGATTCTAGTGGATGTTTTCGCTAACTAATACTGCACTTTTTTCAATGGCTTCTCTAAGTTGATTAACTTGTTGTTTTAGATATTTATTTTTAGATCTTTGATTTAGGAGGGTGAAAAGTAACCTTTCAGGAACATTGTATTTAACAGGAGCTTTAATGCTAGCTGGAGTGTTTAAATTTTTTTTTAGCATTAATGTTTTTATTACTACTTATAGTTAATAAGTTGCCCTCTTTACAAATGGCTGATTGAATTTGTAGAATATAACATGTTGGAGATCTGAAATAGACTGTTTCAATTGTAGGACTAAAATTATTAACAGATCTTTCATCGATGTAATCAATTGAAAATAGTTTGCTAACAACATGTTTTTTACAAGAGAAAATTTTTCTATTTCATTTGATGATGTTCCATTGCACAGGTAGAAACTTTGGATATGATTGAGAAAATGTGATACCTTGGTGTATCTTACAGATTGTAAATTACTCTTATAAATTTGATGAGTGTCTAATGAAAACTAACCATAAGCTCAAATAGTATAAGTTAGACTCTCATCTACATGTAGCTCAAATCGTGGTATGAAATGTTTTCCATTACTGACTTTAAATGCCACAATCCACTTAGAAAATGAAACTCCTTTAATTTTTTTAAGAAATCCTTCAAGATTGCTATAAACTTATTTATAGTTTATAGCAATCTTGAAGGATTTATAGTTTATACTCTAATTTTATAGTTTTTCTTCTTTTTTTTTGTAATCCTGAAGCTATAGTACGTTTGTGAAGTGCTGTTCTTTGACAATGCACAGTGATAACTTTAGAAAAAAAAAATTTTCGTAATTTTTTTGTTGGTATTCTAGGTATTTTATTCAATTATATTTTTTTCAATGATAGTGTTGGATATTTTTTTTGTTTGATCAGCACTATAAAGGCTTCAATAATTTAAATTTAAAAATGATATGTTAATCTATTTCTTTTTTATTTTTTTAAGTTTACATAAAGAAACTATATATTTTTGTTAATTTTAACATTATATATTTTGATCACATTATTAAGATAAACAAAATTTTTTTAAAGTTTCTGGATATTCTGAAAATCAATTCTTAGACAAAAAAAACATGGTCTTGTTTTTCAAATTCTGATTAGTAGTTTTTATTTTATACTCTTTCAATTGATCATGATCCTAGTTCTTTATTTTATGCGCAGTCATGAAGCTGTTTTTAGCTCAGTCGCGAAAGGGTTAATTTTACTAAGCAAGATTTATTTCTTAAATCCTGCTTAGTAAAAAAATTCTGGTTGGTAAAAAATTGCTTGTTTTAAGTAAAAAATTCTGGTTGGTAAAAAATTGCTTGTTTTAAGTAAAAAATTACTTAAAACAACTTTTTTTTTGCTTAGATTAAGAACTCATTTTTTTCAGTGTGCTCACGATATTAGGAATAACTTCTGCAAGAAGCAAAAAAATGTTGTTTTAAAAAAAAGATATATTTATATGGATTATCTATGATTTTTATATACGAAATGTTATATACGAAATTTTATATGCAATTTTTATATACGAATTATATCGATTATATACGAACATAAATTTTTTTTTTTTTTGATTTTATTACAATCATTATTACAATTTCTATTATAACTTTATGTGAATAAAACGTAAGACATAAAAAAGAAATAAATAATATTTACAATAAAGATTTCGTTAACAATAGAAATATAGCAATAAAAATTAGGAATAAAGAATGCGGATACTCAAAGAAGTCCTTGAGGTCTTGTCGTAGAGAACCGCTGGAATCAAAACGCTTTAAATGAATTCATTTTTATTGATTTTTTGTAAATGTTAATTTTCTTTTGAATTGGATCTGTTTCAATAAATTTTTATATAAACCGTTGCATAGAATAGTTAAAAATAATATACTTCAGTATATTTATTAATGTGTTTGATGACGTCATAGTGTGTTAGTGATGTTAATATAAATCGAATAGATCAAGAAAAATAATAATTGAATTGAACATTTCTTGCATTAAAATTGTAGAAAATAAAATCGGGGTGGGGTGGACATTCTTGTTGATAATTAGCTTTTGTTCTAATGTAGTTTTTTTTTAAAGTATGTATTGTGTTTGCATCTTTACCATACAAGCGATCATAGGTGGTATCACCGAATCCTAATCCAGCCCAACGGTTGCCAAGCAGTTTTAGTTGGGTGATCCTACGTCAGAGGTTATGCAGCACTATTCTTTTTTTGTTTTTGTTTTTGTTTTTGTTTTCTTTTGAATATACATAGACTACAAGCACACAGTCTATTTCTTATATATACATACTAATCTATGATAAATATATACATGCATACTAATTTTTAAAAAATATGTAGTCTTTCATGACTATGTTGAAAAGTTTTATTAAGTCTGCTAGAATAACTTTGTCATCAAAAAAAAAAAAATACTGCAGCATATTTAGTCCGATCTCGTAGTCTTTTGTATAATCAAAATTAATTAAATGAAACAATATATCAGAAAGAACGGCTGATTATGCAACTTATAGATTAGCAATTAGCGTGTAAAAAACTTTAATTATTTTAAAGACATTAATTGAGAAGGGTTTTAGCTAAGTTATTCTCTTTCTTGTAACCTCTTGTTAACTAACTAATAAAAATCTAACTAATAATAATCAAGAAAAAACAGATAAAATCGGTAATAAATAACAAAAAGCCGTATAATAATAAAACACTTTTAACATACACCTATGTTGACTTGGTCAACTAATAATATAACTCTTTTAAACGCCGCAAATTTTCGTCTGCGCTCGCTGCCTGTCTGATCGGCCGCTTACAAATTGACCTGCACGTTTCATCAGTAGCAATTACAACTAGTTCATTTTCAGATGATCTACTATTTTTATCTTTATTCATTTCGTTTGATTTGTTGTTAATTTCAAAAGGTATTAATTTTTGAATTTGTCGGAAACATGTTGTTTTAATTCCTTCTTTGGATAAAACTTGTAAACGCGCATCTCGTACTTTTCCATTAGCTCCTCTAATAAGTTCCAAAACTTTTCCCATACGCCATTGACTTTTAGGGATCTTGATATCATCTCGTATAAAAACTACATCGTTTAATATTAGCTGTTCGTTGTATGAAGTTTTACTTTTTACGTATAAATGGTGTTGTTTAAGTTCATTACGATAAAAAGTTTCAAACCTTCTCCAAAAGTTAAATATCGTTGTTTTTATAAATATAGCTCTTTTCGAAATATCATTAGGTAGTAGACTAATTCCATTCATTTTATTAACAAAATTTCGTCCATATATTAAATGGTATGGTGTTAATGCTTCTTCAGTGTCATCCTCGCTCATGTATTATAATGGACGACTGTTTATCACAGATTCGATTTCACATAATATTGTTTCTAGTTCTTTTTAAGATAAAAGAGACTTACCAATTGTTTTCTTCATTGTAATTTTAACAGATCTAACTAAACGTTCGTAGAAACCGCCCCACCAGGGAGAAGCTGGTAGAATAAACTTCTGTTGCACATCATTTTTCATCATTTTTAACTTCCTTAGATATAAAGGTCTAAAAATTATCGGAAATAATAAGATCAGGAAAACCTTTTCGTGCTGCAAAACGCTTAAAAGCTCTTATGAAGGCCGGAATTTTAATGTCAGGTGTCAGTTCAAGATGGATTGCTCGACTAGACGCGCAAGTCAATAGTAAAACATAGATCTTACAGGCAGCATGCTTATTAACTGTTTTGACAAATAAATGTCCTGCATAATCTAAACCAGTTGTTTGAAAGGAATATAAATTATTAACTCGAAAATCAGGTAAATCTGGGCCGCTAGGTGGTAACAATGTTCTTCCTTGGAACTTCTTGCATAATACACATTGTCTAATAATACTTTTTATCGTTGATCGTCCTTTTCTTATCCAGAATTGAGATCGTACTTTATTCAACGTCGATTCGATTCCATGATGCAAAACTTGTTCATGACAGATACGAATCAGTAATATTGTAAACCAACTTTCTTTTCCACGTAATATTAAAGGATGTTTTTCTGCAAAGTTTAAATTAGCATTTTCAAATCTTCCTCGTAATCGTATTAGTTTGTCTTCACCATCAAATAACTTTAAAGAGTTTTTCAGTTTATCAAAACTTTTGTACTTTTGTAAAACTCTTTGCTCATCTCTAATCCATTCATTGAGTGCAAATTTGTACTCATCTGTCGTCAAAGTAACTTGTTTGTTTAATGGTAGCTTTTTAATTGTTTTTAACAAATTGTTGATAAATTGAAATACATATCCAGTACTAATAATTAACTTTTCAAATGAACTAAATCTACATGCATCAATGATACTACTCAAACTTGGTGATGAGTCCAAAACAACATTACAAATAACTACATTTTCTCCTCTCTTACACTCAGACATAATATCAACCTGAAACTTTTTATCAACTTTAAATTCATTTATCTCTTTATTCATATTTAACAAAAATTCTGGTCCTTTTAACCAATGTCTAAAATCAACAAAATTACTTATTCGAGTAGGAAAATCAGCTGGGTTCAACTACCCACTAATATGATTCCATTTTTCTCTATTAACCACTTTTCTAATGGCACTCACTCTATTACTAGTTTCTATAACTAGATATATAACGGCACAATAAATTAATTTAGAACTGGCACAAAATCCATGCAATTGAACACGCTTACTACTCTCATTCACTCTCTCAAACACAAATCTTGGGATTCTAACAAAACTTAATAACTCAAGATCCTTTAAAAATGCTGTCAAAGCTAATTCTATAGCTTCTGTTACTAATTCATCCCATCCACTTTTACCTCTACCACAAGAACCTTAAGTAATCTCTATGTTCAGGAGAGATTTCAATGTTAAAGAATACTTGTTTTATATCAGCAATTATCCCTATAGCATTAAACCTAAATTTTAGTAAAATATCAAATATTTTTGACTATAAATTTGGACCTGAATACAAGCAACCATTTAAAGACGGTCCTGTTGTCGAACAGTACGCATCAAAAACAACTCTAATGTTTGTAGTATCCTTATCTCTTTGAATGACAGGCCTATGAGGCAAATAATGCACACACCCCGGTTCTTTAAATATATCAGACTCATTAACTCTTTCTATTATATTATTCTTTTCATAGTCTATAAAAATTTGATTATATTCTGTAACCAATTGCTTATCATTTAATCTTACTTTTAAATTAGCCAGACGTTTTTTACAAATATTATAGTTATCAGGTAAAAAATCATGATCAGTTTTGAATGGTAACTTTGTTATATATCGTTCCTCGTTATGTGTGAGATCTCTTTCAAACTGATACATCACACAACTCTCAGAAGATTCTATGGTTTCAACAGACCAAAATTTATTTAGATCTTTCCTAAGCTCATCTATTTCACTCTCAACCTCACAGTGCATAGAATGACTAGTAAAAACTGATTTTGTGGTATTTTTTGTATTTTTTTTCAGAGAAACAGGACCACTTAATACCCACCCTAAGATTGATTTACTAGCTACTAGACCACCTATTGGACTTCTTACGATTCTTGCAGTAATAAAACTGTGATAAAAGACTATACCTACTAAAATATCAACATGAAAATCAAGAGACCCATCATCATAATCAGCTAATGAATATTTGGATAATTGTTTAAATTGGTTACAAGCTAATGACACATTTTGCCCTTGCAGAGGGCTACAAATAACTGGTACACATAAAGCTTCCATATAAACACTGTGATCAGCATATTTATGTTTGACCTTAAATTGAACAACATTTAATAATTGCAATGTTTGTTCATTATCTTTCCCAAATGTTTTTATTATAATTTTCTCTTTCCTAATAGTTTTTAAATTTAATCGTTTTTGAATATTTCCACTTATATATGATCGTTGGCTTCCACTATCAAATAAGATTCTTGCCTTTAAAGACTTATTTTCTAAAACTGCACTTATGTTTGCCCTAGCTGTTTGAAACAAGATAGTTTGTTGGTAAATGTTATGTGTTGCATGCCCAACAAAAGTGTTTTCTTTTTCACACAAGAAATATGATGCTTTTTTTGCATTTACTACAAATATAATTTGCTTGACAATTCTTTAATATGCGATTCGTTCTAAGACAATTAAAACATCTACCTTGCTTTTTTAAAATTTCTTTTCTGGTTGAAAAATTCACGTTTTTACATTCCCAGGGGTTGTGGTTTTCTGAACAGTATATGCAAGAATAATTATAATTTCTTTTGTTTTGGTAATCGCCATCAAATGATTTTGGAAAAACTTTTTTGTAATTGTTCTTAATGTTCTGTGAATATAATCCTGCAGTTGTTAATAACTGATTTTTTCTGTTTTCAACATTTCGACTATTAGTTGAACAACACTCTATTGCATTTAATTCTTCTCAAAAATATTTTAACAGAAAAATCTACAGTCCAAACCTCCCCACCAAATTTCCTCGAAATTAACAGAACTAAATCATCTGGTATTTTTTCTTTCAAAATAGGAATCAGAAGACTTCCATATGTGTTAGTTTCAACTTTTAATGATTTCAAATTTCAAACACTTGCCTCTATATTATTATAAAGTTTTCTTAAGCCATCAACATTATCACTATTTTTTACTTTCACAAGTTTTAATAATAAATCCATGTGTGCAGAGATTAAAATTAGTGGGTTACCATACCGTTCAGTCAATAAAGAAACTGCTTCTCTATAATTTTCTGACGATAAGGTTAAACCACAAATGGAAGTCAATGCTTGGCCTCCTAAATATTTTTTTAAATAATTGAAACGATCAATATCATTTAGATTATCATTGTTGTGTATGGCAACATTAAATTGATCCCAGAATGTTTGCCATTCTAAAAAAATTACCCTTAAAAAATTGAAAGTTCAATTTTTGGCAATCTACAATTAATTTTATTTTTAGAACTCTGTTCAGAATTATTATCAAGTCCTAATTTTAAAGATTCTAACTTTAGATTTATTTTAGAAAGTATATTGCAAAATGGATCAGTTATTTCAACACTCGCTAAAACATCCTCCTCAACCTCATTTGGATCAAGTATATTATTTCTTCATCAATATTATTTAAATTTGTATAAGAGTCACTCAAACTATTTTTTAAAGCTATAAACCTAGACTGTGAGGTGTCAGGGTCTTCTAACGCCTGACTTATTTCTACAATATTTTTTTGAAAAATATTTCTTAGTGCTTTCCTTTTAGCTATCTTCCTACTTAATATTGCAGCCAATTCTTACCAACACGCTTGTTTACAAAATTCAAATCTTACACCGAATCAAATGTACTAAACTTTTGTAAGTCAAATCGACTCTTTTTTCTTTTTCTTTTTGAGTTCGATTGAATAAATATTTTTCTTTTGGCAATATTTTTCGTTCAGATTTTGTAATTTGCATCGGGCGCCATGTAAAACACTTTAATTATTTTAAAGATATTATTAGAGAAGGGTTTTCGCTAAGTTATTTTCTTTCTTGTAACCTCGTGTTAACTAATATCCGTAACAAAAATTTTTACAATCCGAAAATTGAATAACCAAGAAAAACCAGATAAAACCAATAATAAATAACAAAAAGCCGTATAATAATAAAACACTTTTAACATAGCGTTTGCTGAACAATTAGCATAAACATATATTCATCCACCAAAAGAACGGGAACATTTCTAGCTCTTCTGCTTTACCATGCGTCTGGGTCTTCATGTTTATAAAATAAAATAAACAGTAATAAGGAGGTTATTTTAGTATAGTCTATTAATTACTTTAATAATAACTTATTCAATTCAAATATTTTTAATCATTAAAACAATCAAATTAGAAATAAATTAAAACAAATTAGAAAAAATTTATAAAATTATTTGCTACCCAGCAAACACGGGGGCGTACAAAAAACTTACAATGAATATTCAGACGGAACGTCTCGAACGCGTTTTAAACTGATTCTAGATTAGACACTAAAAGAGGTCCTTTCAGGACGTTCTATAGACGTCATAATAAGACTTAAATAAGACTTTCTTTTTAAGTGCAATTATACAAAATTGGTCTTCAAAAGACGTTTTAAACGTCTATTGAACGTTCAAAAGACATTTGTTACACAACGAGCGTATTTTACCAATCGCAGAACTTGTATGATTATGGGGACAAAAATTTAACATTCAGAAAACATAAAGAGCAACCAGTGTGCCTTATTATATAACACAAATAAAAAACAAAAATAAAAGTATACACATGATTAAATACATTACAGATCTAAAAAATAACATAAAAACTTTTGTCATGATTTAGTTTTTTACTGTCACTGCCGCCATTTCTATCCGGCGCTCTTTTCTAAATAACTCCAACGCAATACTCTTGTTTATTCTTTGCATACTTAGGCATGGTCTTTGAAAATAACAAAAAATATATACAAAAAAGGTTTATAGAATATAAGATAAAGAATATAATAAAGATTAAATCAAGTTAGCTTATACAAATGTGAAGGCTAAAAGTGAACTATTATTATTGAAATAAGTAATTAAATTTTAACAAAATAAAAAAAGAACTTTTTATTATGCATAATATAGGGGAAAGTTGCCTTAATTGGAACACTTAAGGAATAAATATTTATTAACCAAAGATAGCTTAACTATGAAAACATTTATGATTGGAATAATACAAACAGACATCCCTATTATACTTTTAACCACAATTTAACTTAATTGATTGCACTGTTATGGGAATTAAATATTTTTTTGCAAAGGTACCGTTTTGTTCCAATCAAGGCAACTGGTTTTCTAAATTGGAACACTTTGATTCCATAATCAGAACAGGTTACTTTTTAAAAAAAAAAACCAATAAAATCAACAAAAATTGGTTAAAAATGATTTTTATCTTTACAGTAAAAATTTAAACAGATAATTTAAAACTTATTATAGAATTACTATTACCCTGACAAAATTGAAGTCTACAAACAAAAAATTGTATGAAAGCTTCAACTGTAATGACGTTCTCTTAATTTATTGATTAAAAATCACTAAAAAAGTAATTTTTTTACAGTTTATTGTTGTTACTAAGTATTTTTTAATTGCACTCAAACTATTTTTACAACCCTTTGATTTTATTACTGATTAGGCGAGGAAAACTTTATTGTTCCAATCAAGGAAACTTTGGACTATTTTATAATATCACTGCAATAACATGCTTGCAACAACTAATAAGATAAGTTTATTTTGTTATTTTGCATTTTAAATCCCATAAAATTAAACACAAAAAATCGTATAATCTGTAGTACCATAGTTTACCAAGTGCAACTAATATAGTGTGAACGCAAAATTAGATCACTGAAAAAAAAATGACGCAAAAAAACTTTAAATCAATGGTGCAAATGCATTTTTTGAGGAATAACTTT